TCATGCTATAATGAGGCCAATGCTTAAAGGATGGCCTTTGTGGTAATGGATGTATAGTTGTATTATAACCAAGGATCATTCAATAATAACAACTCTTACACAAACCACCTATTTATATAATGTATAAGATGAGTGCATTAATAGTGTAACCTATATAGCATGTAATCATAAATGTGTCAAATGTTATAAGGTGTGCGTGTGTGTACGTGTTACTATGAGTTAGTTAAAAAGTATACTACAGTGTTTATTTCTCGAACAACACAGTCCAAGACTACCAAATTATCATCCAACACACATCATTAAATGCACACAAAAAATAATAAAAAGTAACTACTAATTTAATATTAATAATACATGATAACTTTAAAATGAAAACACTACACCACAAAGACTTATAAGGATAGTAACTGTAATAATACTGATGATGATAATAACAAATAAAGGTCAAACTTTTTAGCTCAGTGATCTCATGCAATCAGCATGCAGTGTTCCAGAGTCAAAAAGGAGTCCAGAATCATTACTGATGAAAAAATCACTCCTGATCCGGTAGAATAAGACTGAATCTTTGAATCCTGGATCCGGGATCAATTCTAATGAAAGATTCCTCCTGGATCCGGTAGAATAAGCCTGATTCCTTGAATCCCAGATCCGGGACTGTAGACACAGCGTTTGTCGCTTTGAGGAGAGGTCTAGAAATGGAGACTGCATACACAGCACTAACGAGTACCGTGTTCTTAGGAAACACAAACTGTCCTCCTACAAGAGCGACCACGGCTACCTCACCTGTCTCTGTGGATGATAGGCTTCCTCCAGATACTCCAATTCTTAGCCCATACCTCTCCCAGTTTAGCAGTTGAGGTCTGTCTCCTTGTATCAGGAACAGTTTCTTACTGGCTATGTTAACGTCACTCAGGCACTCTAAATTATCTGTATACATGTATATAAAACAAATATTAATAATTATTATGTATCTCTTACCCATTGAAGGAACAATATAATCAAACTGAATACCAATAGAACTAATCTCTTCCACTGTTTTTTCTATTTTACAAAATAAACCCCATTCCTCTTTACTCCTTCTTCTAGCCAACCATTACAATCAAACAGAAGCAAACAAACTACAAAGTAATGTACATACACTCAAACCACATTATCACTATAATGAAGAGTATCATACCTGGAATAGAATTGACATCTGTGTCTTGTATGTCTGAAAGAGATGAAACATAACTGAACTGTTTAGAAGAAGAGCTAGCACAGTTCACTCATAGTTTTACAATCAATAACAATTACCAAATTCTTAGAAAAGCGGATAGCAGCAAGAATAACAGCTTGGATTTAGTCTTTATCAGAGTATGTGAGTGTACATATGTGTATGTGTGTGTGTGTGCATATAGAAAATTAATATACACATGTACAAAAATGGTCAAAAGTAGTAGTGTCTTAGTCATCCTCTCCTTCCTTTTGAGCTTCTGTGGTAGTAACATTAGCTTCCTCATTTATGTCTTCTTTGACAATATCTAAATTGTTCATTGGTTCGTTACCTTCTTCCTTAGTCTCCTCTTGCTCCTCATTGTGTTTTTCGTCAGCAGTTACTTCTCCTTTTGCTTCTATTTCTTCTTTGACAATATTTAAATCGTTCGTCACTTCATTGTCTTCTTTGTTAGCCTCCTCTTGTCCCACCCCTTCTTCCTCTTCTTGGTGTTTTTCACCAGCAGCTACTTTATCATTTGTTTCTTCTGCTGTGACTGGTGACTGTTGCTCTGTTATGTCTTCATCGCTTTTAAT